CAAGCAAGCTGTATGGATCTATAAAGTCTGATTTGAGTTTCACGTAAAATATCGGTTACAGTGGACAGACTCAAGGCAAGACAAAATAATTGCAGATGGGAAATATCAAATTTCATCAAAATGAATTAGTGATTTTGGAGGTAAAACACATGCCTGAATGCACAAATAGAAAGATATTACCTTTCCATTACACCCACTTAATACATTAAAGGATAACACATGGGAAAAATTAAGTTGTGTAAACATATGCGCTTCTGCGTGCACGTGTATGGTTGTGCGTGTGCATGTGCGCGTCAAAGCCAGGAAGCTGCCATTATTGTGTCTAATAGCTAACACTAACTGCATTCAATTACCTAATTTTTAATATATTAGCATTTATGATAGATCAACTTAATAAATGTCCTGCAATTCAAATTACCATTAACAAGATTACAAAATATTTCAAGGACAATATCTGTCACATGTGATGAAACATCTACTTGGTAAAATTTTCTGAAACAGACTTTATAAAGGTCTCTGAAAAATTAATATTTGCCTTTGATGTCAACACTGATATATATGCAGTAATTCTTTCAGCAAAATTAAACATCTTATGACAATGAAATGCTGATAAAATCAGTCAGTCAGAATTAGTTCTTAATATTAGGTTTTATTGTTAGCATAAAGCCACTTTTAAATGCTGAACTAACTTTAAGAGAGTTACAAGCATAAAATTTGCTTTTAATGTAAGTGGCCTGCCAAGGCTTTTTTTGGGTGCCCGTGTTTTACAGAAAGAGGTTATACTGAATAATGAAGGCCATTCAACCACGAACATTATAAATTCAAAGCACAGATCTCGACTTACTGACGCCCATCTTGACGATTGTTTGCGGGCAGCAACATCATCCTATACTCCCAAATTTGAAAAACTGGCCGATGAAATGCAGCGCCAAACATCACACTAACTTCCCACTTGAGCAAAAATAATTGTACTTATAAAACTACGTATTTTTGATTGCATGGTTTCTTGTATCATTAAACATCGTGTTGTTATGTGTATTATTTGGTGTCCATATCTTATTTGTCCCGGAGAAAAGAAAATTTGGCTTTGTTAATTGGTTGGTGCCCGCCATGATCTCATAAACTCTCAAATGTGCCCATAGGCACAAAAAGGTTGGGGACCACTGGTTTAGACCATGGCTAAAATTACCTGTAAACTGAAATTCCCTAAACTGTGTGGCTGGTGGCAATTATGAAATAATTATTAAAGATGAAAAAACACCCAAATTGTAATTCTGAGCAGTGACTGAGTAAACAGAGGCTGGAAGGCAAATTTCCATAAAATGGAAAGTTTAGGCTACTGAGGTAACTTGTTTAAAAACCAAAAAATCAGTACTGTCTGGATTTGTATAAAAAATGTGTATCTTTGAACTACATATGACAAGTGTGACAGAATCACACTTGGCTATTTGCCTGTTATAAACAAATCAATTCAGTATTCTATCAAAAACTTGTCAATTTTATTATAGCAAATGTTGTAATCACCCTAAGAACAACAGATTTCTGTTACATTAATCATCACATGGGAAAGCCATATGGAATGTCTAAAGTTCAAAAACTAATTCTTATAAAGAAACTTCCCAAAAAGAATGTAACCGAGACAGAAAGTTTGTGTAATTACATAAGAAAGAATTCATGCTGACAGATGGTAATAATGACAAAACTTACTTCTCCAATAATTGACCCAAAGTACCTTATGGCATGTTTCTCACAACTAACGCTTTCAAAACTTTAACAATTTTAACTACTACCACAGAACTTGGGTAATTGCTTTCATTTCAAAGAAATGTTTTTTAATGGTAACATGGTCTTACAAAGCAGCTCTATGACAAAATTTCAGGTTCTACTCACATTACTTGTTAATCTAGTGATTTTCACAAAGTTATGTACTCCAAAACAATTTTCACATCACAATTCATCCTTCAATTTTAAACTGTAGTATATGCAGTACCCCACTTAATGGTACCTGCACATTGTCATGGTGGTGGGGCTTGAGTACCTCAGTGATCCCAAGAGCTATGCTGGCGGTAGCATAGCCAGATTGGTCGAGGGGGAGAGGTCAGACAAAGACAGGTACCCTGGTCCTCCAGGTTGGGGGTTGGTCGCAAGGCTAACAACCTTGCACCGTAAAAAGGAGGATGTTTCGAAACCTCAACCGAAGTCTCGGACAGACAGACCTAACAGAGGACCGAATGGAAGAGGAGAATTGAGGAGGCCATGGACCGAATACAGACCAGAGAGCCATAGAAGAAGAAGAAAAAGTATATGCAGTAGTACTCTGCATTAACATGCATACGCACACACATTATCACTATTTTCATCTATTATTAGAATTTGGATCTATTTTCACCAACATTGTGTCCAACAATAACGCAATATACACAGCCTTCCATGTAACGGGTATCAGGGGCTTTTCCATAGGGAAACCAGAGAATACAATAATGATGTTGCCATATCCACATGTTTGTGCACGCACTGTTTCCAATTACAGTATCTATTTATATGACTAAAATCATCGCAAACAATTTTTGTCTCTATCGAGAAAGTTTGAAACTTATTGGTGTAAAATTAAAAACAAAAAAACACCAGAGTTGTACTACAGCTTTTATTTTCTATAAAACTGCAAATCTATGGAAGAATATCTGTCAGTTTAATTCTACACCACAGAAGATAGAATAAATTCTGTACTTGTTATTTCATCCACCTAGTCCAGTTCATCATGATCTCCATGACTGTGGTAGTGGTGATGGTAGCAGTAGTATCATCATCATCAACACAATCACCACCACCACTATCATAATCATCATTATTCATTACACAGAGACATTTTTAGGACAATACATTTTAACATGCTAGGTCAAAAAAACATAGAGCCACTGAGAACAACCCCATGGGGCTGAAATTCATAATAAATTGTAGGCAAATGCTAGTTGGTTACAATATGGTTGGAAAGTTGTGTTATGGTTTACTTAAGTTAGTTCAGATGAGGTAAAGGTGAGGTCAGATTGGATTACTTTAATTCATGTTTTAAATTAAAAATTAAATCCATGGCGTAACAGCTCCAGAGAGCCAAAGCCGACTAGCTTGACTGCTGGCCTCACGTTCACATGCCTAAGCAGAGGTGAACGATCATTCAACCAGATATAGGGTGACGTGTGGTCAGCACGACGAACCCCCAGCCATTGCTAGCTTTCCTGACCGGATTACGCTACTCATTGTAGCTCCCCAATTTCCTCACGATGCTGGGTTGGCACTGGTCCCATACATGGTCGAAAGTTGATGAGAAAATTTCTTTTCCCCCCGAGACTTGAACCAGCGCGCATTCCTTATTGCCGGTCCGAAGCATGATGCCTCAGACCACGCGGCTATGGCGCGGGACTTTAATTCATGTTAGGTTAGGTTAAAATTAAAATCAAAGTTTTTGGGAAAACCTTGCTTCTTACATAAGATTGGTAGTGAGTTTAAGTAGGGTTAGGTAAGTTTGGTTTGGGTTGGGTTAGATTAGGTGTAGTGAATTGGATACAGTTGGGTTGGGTTATGATGTGTGATGTTAGCTTAAGGTAGGTTAGGTTATGTTAGGTTAAGTTAGGTCAGTTGAGATTAGTTTAGGCTGTTAGTTGCCAAGAGGGGAAACAGGGTGTGAATCAGTGTGTGGCCCTGAGGGTGTGTGGAAGAGGAGGGCAATGGAAATTGGATGTGGTGGGCCAGGTGTAGAGGATCCACTGGTGGAAGAAAATCAACAGTGGGATAACCAGATGAAGGGGGCAGTGACTCGTCTGTGGGGCATGATCCTCATCAGCAAGTCCTTTATGGGGTAATAAAAATGGGTGTGGCAGAGCCCTGAGAAAGGTGGATATGCCATATAAGATGCAGACCCTGGGGGTAGGGGAGCCCATATGTGGGTTAGGGTGTGTCAGATTAGGTTAGGCTGGGTTAGGGCATGATATGTAAGGTTTTATTTTGTTACGTTGAGGGCCTACTTAAAGGTTTCAACGTCTGCAACAAATGTATTTCCGAGGGAATACTTAAAGCTAATAATTTCCATGACAAATCTATTTCTCTTGGGTACACACATTAGGAACTCAAAATCTGCAAAATGTACGTGGGGAAATTATGTGTATTCCAGTACAGATTACACTTTCTAGTCTTGTTTTATAGATAAGCTTGCAAATGACCTTGTACTTCCAAGCAAGGCTCACCTTTTGAAACAGTGAGTGCAGAGAATTGCAGTGCAAAACATGACAAAGCCCTTCTCTTAATAACATACTCTACACTGTGATTCGCTAGATTCAAATAGCAGGTGTTATGCCACTTTACATAGCCATATAAAGAAAACCATGTTCCATCTTGAGAAAAGGCATCAGACTATGAAAAACTGGATTCTTGCTTCAAAAACTGGAGGAATAAGATTTTGCATAACTATCGCTAGTTTTTGTCTTGACATGAGGTAAGCAGTCCGGTAACAATGAAGAGTGTATGACGAATGTAACATGGGGGGGAGGGGGGAAGCTTGCTTCTAATTACATCAATGTCATACAACTCCTCTTCAGCCTAAGCATACTTTTACATTTTTTATTTGTCCAACCCCAAGCTTGATGTATGAAACTTTTCCATTAATGATGTTTTATATAGGATTGCAAACAGAAATTTTTTCTCTATGACAAGTTATTTACAGAAGTAATGTATATAAACACACACTGTTGCACTTTTCTGTAGTCACCTAGAGCAAAGCTGAATTATTCATATATGTTACCTGATAAGCCTTAAAATGATGACAACTCAAATGACTTTACCAAAGATGAGAGGGCCATATATATGGACAGTGATGGGTTATCACAGGAGAATGAAAATTCCTAGTCGCAGTTTGGAAATAAACAGGGCTGCCTGCATCTCACAAGAAAATATTACTTTTGAGCAAAGGTATCAACAAAACAGGCAATACTATAAAATGTGTTACTCACTTTGAATGTATGGCCACTGATATCCCTGGCTTGGAACCGTGAGCGCAATGGGGGATCCAAAGGATTTCCCAGGTATCGTGGAACAGGAATTCCAAGTGCTATGACCCTAAAGTCTTCACTCACTCGAACTAGATGCCATTGATCCAGCTCCTCTTTACTGTATTCCTACGGCAAAAACATCAACTTTGAACTACATTTATAGTGTCATTCCAGCAGTATGTTGGTGGAAAGATACACATAAACACACAACAATCAGACCCATTATGCTTAAGCAGTGTGTAAGTACCCATTAACAGTAAGAACAATACTTTTTTATAAACAATATAAATAAGAAAACTGAGAAGCCAACAAAGGACCAACAGAACCATGATCACCTTAGTGACTGAGGACTCAGTACTAATACTGTCCACAATGTGAACTTTCTAATTTTCAGTTCATTGTTGCATCAACTTTAGGGATTATGTCTGGTTTTTGGCCACTATCTGTTTAAGTGAAACTTTTTGTATCATAACACAACATCTGATCAGCCACCAACCAATTGAAAAGAAAGGTTTTCAGGCCTCATTCAAGGAAACAGGGTGCCATGCAACATCACTTCTGATAGCAAATATAGGTAAATACATATTTTAACACTCAAAATGGAAAATGTTTTTTTGTTAAATGAATAAGCAAACTGAATAAATGTTTTGTACACATATTTGGGGATATTCTACAAAACTTCACAACTTCAGTTTCATTCAAATCTACAGACACATTAACTTTTACCATTTTTAACAAGCCAGTTTTTATGCTACATAGCATAGTTACATTAACTTAAAATGTGATATGACACGTAAAATACCGTCAGAATGCAGGTATGCTTAACTGGTTGCCCCAAAGAGCACTAGCCATTCTGCCTGTGCCTTAAACATGGCTGGCACAGTCTACATGAGCAAATGCTACAGACAGTGTATGCTCTCCTGAGACACAAAAGGGTAAACATATAGGCAGTAGTTTGTCACAAGAAGTGAACAACAACACTTTTATCATTGTTGAGAGACTGTGAACAAGCATATAAATCTCAAAATCTACATCAGGGAAAATGAAAACTTCAGGCTTATACATAAATTCAACAAACATATATACAGTAAATCTGCTGCTAATGCAGAATATTCAAATTTATTAATACATGAATAATGCTTAACTAACAGAGTTAAGAAACAATTATTTTTCTTAGATGTTTAAATTAATTTATCAAATCTACAACTATTTCTCCCAAAAATCTTCAAAGCCATATGCTCCTTTACCTTTATTACTAGATATATTAAAATTAACAATATTTATCTGGATGCAGGACAGTTATAAAACTAAAATTCCCATCAGTGGCTGCAAAATAATATCTGCACAGAAAAGATAATTATATATATTAATTTCATACATTTACTGGAAACAACGTGTGAATAAAAAAAATTTGAAACATATTACACATTGCATTTATTGAGCCAGCTTCCTGCTTTGTGATCTTTATCCAATTTTTTTCCAATTAGTCTCTCTCCAAAGATATCTGTCTTCTGGGTTGTGACACCATTTAGTCTGGTAGAAGTTTCCTGAAGTGTCAGAGACACTTGCTGCCTCCGTAATCGGGGCAATGATGGAGACAGCAAGTAACTCTGAAATGTTGGCGAACTACTGACTACGCAGCACGATAAACCAGAAGACAGGTATGATCATACTTGCTGCCGTGAGGACCTCATATCCTACTTAGTCACACTCTCTTCACCATTCCCTTCTTCTCGGTTTCACCATCTTCAAAATTCCATATTCTTTTCACACATTCATTTCACTGTTAATATTCCCAACTTCATCGCACTGACTGATAACTGTTGGGGAAAATCACCTCTTCTGGTTCACAGCTTTGATAGTACTTCAATAAAACTTGTGGTAGCTCATGGCTCCTGACCTTGAAACATATACCTGTCTCTCTCACTTGCTATAATGATAATATGATACGGATTGAATGTTAACAAGTATCACATCTACAACCTACTAAAATTTAAAATGTTTAAAAATATTTAAATTGTATTTCATACTCAAATCAATGTAACTCTTAGTGTATGGCAATCAACTAGGTTCACAACAGTATTCAAGATAACATGCATTCATGCTGGGTACCTAATGAATACTAGTCAGATATGTTACTGCAGAGATAGCAAGCTCAAACTGTAAAGTTACCTTCAACAATTTATCGTAACGGGAAGCTGGAATCAAGAAACGTCCATCCTCCAAATGCATTTCTCTGTTCTCCAGCAAGTTGTTCAAGATGGGTAGCACATTTCGCTCTGCCTTCTCTATTCCTTCCAGCACCAGAATTCTTCCTTCTACTGCAGCTCTCACTGCACTCTGTTAAAAAATAAAAAAATGCTGATAAGAAAAGTTTATTCACTGATTTTACTAACTCTCATGTCATGCAGCATTTTGGATCATAATAAGAATTAAAACAGCAACAGTGCATTTGGAAATGTAAGAGCACAATATATGATAGACCGACACACAGCAACTTTTAAACAATGTTTTACTGCAGTTCTCAAGACTTCAGATGGCTGTCGTCAGGGTGATGAGAACCAATGATGGAGGCAGCAAGGACCTCTGATATGTTGGTAGACTTCTACCAGATTATATGGCATTACAACCCAAAAAACAGCCATCTTCAGACTCAATTCCAAGAGAACCTAAATTTATACATGGAAGGATACATATTCCAAAGAAACAACAATTTAATTGCAACAATTCTGTTGTAGGGATCATTTAAAAACCACAGTTTAACTCATAATACATGAGGAAATCCATATCTAGGACACATGACTTCTCTACAATCATTCCATACATTAAAATTGTACTGCTGAAATTTCTCCATTTCGTGTATGATAATAATGAAGAAGATTGAAGGTTTCTTACAATGGTGAATTATAATCTGTAAAAGTGGTGACTTGGACTTTCCAATAAAATTACAAAGTTTTGGAAGCTGAATCTTCTTCCATTTTCAAGTTAAAGGGAAAGACATAAACCCCAGCTGGGCCCCTGGCTGAGCTAGTCTCAGACCTGGACAGCTTCAACACAGAAGTGCCCAGAGCAAGAATTGGCTAACAATAACAATCATAGGGTAACTCGGGGGGAGATGGCAGTTGGGGGAAGAAGCCTCTTTGCTTGTAATTTCTACATGCGCGCAGAGGTGGCAACATCGACTACTCAGTAGGAAGAGGAACATGTGTGTGAAGACAACTACTGTCGAAGAATCTTTTGTTATCCAGCTTCATCATGTTTATACTGAATTGTTTTCCCATAGGACTCGGTAAGTACGTGCTTTATAATATTGTATTACCCAACTTAAGGTCTGTAACCAGATGTTTTATTTGAAAGCACAAATATTACTGATATAATAGAGCAGTGGCTTCTCGTACGCAAGTTGCTTGTGTGGGCACTCACAGCTCTGGCAAGTCTTTGTGAGTAAACAGGTGTGGCATCTTCCCCTGATGTTTGGGATAAGATGCCATATTGAGTGAAAAAATGATTTATTGTGCTTCAAGGCTGTGCTTATGTCTTATAGGAAGCGTCAGTGATAAGAATATTGATATTTTCTTTATATTACAACAGGTCATGCAACGTGAATATGTCAGGAAAACAGATCGTGCTTCCTGGTCAGAAGCAAACCTCCTTCTTGCATCTCAAGAAGTGAAGACAGGGAAAATGACATTGTGGAACGTGTCAAAAACATATAAGATCCCATATAGAACCCTGAAGAGACGCATTGAATCTGAGAATTTCATGAAAGGGTTTCCTGGCCCTACAGGTTCATTTTATATTTTTATGTCATAAATTTCTTTGCTGAGATTACTTAATAAAGGTTAGCTCCTATGTTATTTCAGTTTCACGTTGAACTTACGACAATTTCAGGTTGCCTTGGAAGGGAGCAAGAAAAAGCTCTAGTAAAATACATACAGCATCTAGAGGAAGTTGGTTCTCCACCAACAGCCAAATCTCTCCGACAGCTAGCTTACAGTTTTGCTGAGAAAAATTGCATTCCTCATCGGTTTAACAGAGACACAAGGCTTGCTGGTTATGACTGGATGCAGCTGTTTTTGAAACGTCATCCTGAACTTAGAGTGAGGAAGAAGACTGCAGTTCTGACAACTTGCGTTGTACCAAGTGTTAAATGTCTGTCTGATCACTTTGCAAGCAGAGGCATCTTTCCTCATACCATGAGGCATCTTCCCCATACAGTTGGGGGAACATGCCGGTTGTGCAAGGTTGTATTCGAAGAATTGTTTTGCCTCTTTATATATCTCATTTTTAATTGTAATTAATTACTTGAATACAAAAAGGATTGAAAAATATTGTGTCAATTTTTGGTACTTCTTACTCACCCCATTTTCTAGCGCGAAATGCCTTAACTATTGCGTCTTCCCCCAAGTCACCTTATGCGGGAGATAACTCATGGCAGTGTGTGTGTATATATATATATATATATGGGCATCTAACTGGTCTGTGAGACACTCCTAAGTCATCAGTTATACTTATCAGTGACAGAGAAATGTAAAATGGAAGTAGAAATGGAAACCAAAATCTGCCATGTCAATACAGAATACGAATAAAACAACAGAAAAGAGAATGGCAACAAACTCAATGAGGCTAGTACCAATCCACAATGCTGACTTTACCCAGATAACCATGATTTTACAATTAACTGCCCTGCAGCCTGCTGACTTCCTCACAAATCACTGGAATCCAAATGGGAGAGATTTACATGCTTCGTTAATTAATTGGGTTTCTGATGCATGCTGTATGAGCCACTTCCTTATACCTTCTGCAGCTGTGTTAGCTTCTATTTGTACAGCCTTGACTGCTTTCTACTGTATTCATTGTCCTTTGTCATGGACATGCTTTGTTAATCTAGATTTCTCCAAAGTCCCTGTTTTAAGTTCTTTATATTTTCTCATATCTGTATGCCAAGTGCTCTGCCTGTTTTCCTGATGTAACACTTATCACAAGGTATACTGCAGATGCACTGCCTAAACTTCCTTTTGTGGTGTTTTATTCTTGTTAACAAGCTGTCTTGTTTGGAACACTGTCTTGATATTGTATTGCTCTCCAATATGTCTAAATTTCTATGAAATGCCTTTGACATATGGAATGACTACAGTGCTCAGGCATGTTTCAACTATTTCTTGTCAGCTCTTCTCTCTGATCTTTTAAGGTAGAGTCGATTAAATGCTGAAGACCTTGTCTAATCTTCACTACTTCTTTGGCATATTATTGTTTTTCTAAGCATAAGGTTATTGCTCTATTGATAAGATTATGCACCACTCCTCTTTTGATGTGAGGAGGATGGTTGGAATTGAAATGAAGATATCGGCCAGTGTCTGTGGGTTTCCTGTGAATTCGGTTAGTAAGCTGTTCCAATTCTCGTAGTTTGTCCATGCCATGTGGCCACGACAAACACGTCATCCACATAACTGGGCCATATGGCAGGTTTGTGAGGCACTGAGTCCAGGGCTAATTGTTTACAATGCTTCACAAATATGTTCTATCATACAAATGAACTTGTTAAGACAGTTGGTGATAGATAGGATGGCAATTTTCAAATGCAAGTTAGATGTATATACATATATTGTGGTGAAATTGTCACTATTTATATTTTTAACTTCTTTAATTAGCACGATGGCAGTAACAGACAACATACCTGATCAAAATATTTTGCAGTTCCATTTTGTATTTCTCTGCGTTGCTTCAAGTCTGCTTCTGTGGTATCTCGTGACAGAGCCACATACTCCAGTTCACGGCCTGTCATTTCAAGATACTGCATTGTCAGTTGACGACGCAGAGGACCAGGTCGACCAATCAGGAAAATGTCTTGACCCAAAAGGTCCTTCTGCATCATCCATCGTAAATGCTGTAGACATTCCTGAGACAGTTCTTTATTCACTGCAAAAAAAGAAAGAAAGAAAAATCAATAAAAATAAAAGTTTTACTCTAACCATAATATATACTATAAGCTTATGGATCTTCATATGCTACCTTTTTCCACTTTCTTTAATTAATTCTGCTGGAATTTGATCAATACCTGGAGATTTATAACTTTTCTTCTTTCCAATGGCTAGTTCAACTTCATCTAAACTAGGTTCTGGCACTAACAGTTCAGCTGTATGTATTTTAATCTAACATCAGTCTCATGAACATTTAAGAGCTGGCTAAAGAAATTTTTCCACCTATTAAAAATTTTTATTGGATCCGCAAGCAAATTGCCATTAGCACCCTTTACCAAATTAGTCTGAGGTTGATATCCTTTCTTAAAATTATTAATGCCTCTGTACAGATCTCTGATTTTTTTTATATTATTTGTCTCAAGTTCAGCAATTTTGCCCTTCATGTATTCCCTTTTCTTATTCCTAAAGGTTCTACTAGCTTCATATCTCATGTTACATAGATTATCCATATTTGTTTTGTTTGGGTCCTGCAACCATTGAAATTTTGTTTGTTTCCTTCAGTCTATTAATTTTGAACATTTTTCATCAAACCATGGTTTATTTTGCTTTCTCTTGTAGTATCCTACAACCCTCACCATCCCTCAACTGCTGTCCATGATTGTTTATGTACATGTCTATTCACAGCTAACCTCCATACCTAGAGGCTGTTCCTCTATCGGCAACCTGAGGACACGCCATGCGGCGGTGCAAGGGACCCCACCACCATTCATGGCTATCTACAAATAACAATATGAAATGTGCTTCATTTGTGTCATGTTAAAGCACACAGTTTCCAAAACTGTCTAAGAATACTTACAATAATTAAGTGGGACAAACTGAGGATTCCTTGCTGGTTTCACCTCCTTCGTTACATCACCAATTGTCACACGATATTCACCTGCAATGTTTATATGAGGCAATATAATAAATGAATATTTTGGATTTAAATATGTTTATTCATCTTCATTTTGAAACTGTTTGCAAATGGAAACTCGGAGAAGACATTTTTTTTATATATATTTATAACTGTTCACAAAGAATAGCAGATTCATTTCTCATTTCAGACTGCTGCAAGTACTGACATTTATAAACCTGTATACATAATTTAGCCTGCTTTCTTAAATCTGATGTACAGCTTCCCTCATCAAACCACTGGATACCTCACAAATTATGACATCACATGGCTTAAATTTCTATACTGTCACGGATTATTTCACATGCACTATGAATACTGGTTTCAACCTAATTAAAGAGTTCAACCCTCCAAAATGACCCTGAGACTCTATGAGACCAGGGACCTACAGACAGACCTTGATCAAAGAGATATAAACAGCCTCACATATCCTATGTAATTGAGAGGCCTTAGATGAGTAAGATTTCATCAGGTGAATATCAGAAGATGCTGCTATAAAAAATGCTGTACTTACTTAGTACAGGACTACTAGTAGACTGAAGAGAATGGGAATACACAAAAGCTCAGGAAATGGGCATGGGGCAAGGGTACATTAGGCACCCACCCCACTTGGATTCATTCATTCATTTATTCATGTCTCTGAGGCTGTAGTGCATTAGCAGGTGATAACAAGACAGGGGCAGTCATACAGTGTCTAACAGCATTCTTTATGTTAAAATTTAGTTTTGTAAATTTCTAACGCAACTTTCAGCACAAATACAATTAATGCCTCATTAATATCTGTAACAATCATTTTCCCAAGGAAAATGGAACATGTGGGTGGATGGATAACTTACATGATTTAATGCACATTCTTGCCATTCATATTTTAAAGAATTTTTGCTTAAAAAATAAATTTCTGAGATCCCCTGGCATTTGATGTGATATTTCACAAATCAACCAATGTTACAAAGAAACTAATAAATAAAAACATTTAAATATAATAAGGCATTACTAACAGATTCAACAATAAATAACAACAAGCATGTATTTGACATCTCCCAGGATATGTGGACATACCCGAGTAAGATTTATTATGCTGTCTGATGCTGACAGTATTTTGTTGAGGCATAAAAGAATTTTGTAGTATCCTACACAGTACTGCAATACGTCTTGTTGTGGGCTTGTTGATATGCATACTGGCTTCTTTTTGTGTATTATTACTGCCATTAGCCTTCATGAGGACCAAGTGTAGACCACATTCTCTAGATTCCTGCAGACCTATAAGCAAACAAATTCAAATAAGGCATATTCTTTTGTCTAGTTCATATACAGATTATAAAAAGTACTTGAAAAAACTAACAAGTTCACTACCTCTATGTCTGTTTCTGCTTAAACACTACATTTATTTCATTATTAAGACAATAAAGTTCCTGAACTATGGGTCTGCTGGCTGCATTTTGATGGTTTACAGTTTAGCAATACTCTAATTAGACACGCATAAAACAAAGACTGGGCATTTGACACGATGCAAGGACAATAAAGGTTAATAATGAAGTCACTCAAGTGCATCAAAACGCAGAATTCTGGCAGCTTTAGATGTAAGTCTCACTGAAGTTTAATGACTTGTTTAAATTCTGTCTTAAACATATATTTTGTTAATACAGAACTGAAAATTATATTAACATTATGAACTCAGTTCAATATCTTTGTAGTTTTTAGAATAAACTATTAGGTATGTCTAGGAAAAATCAGGAGAGAATGAAATTGAATGGACCACATCAGTTGATAATGTCGGTTCAATGGGCAATAACACAGAGTCTCACGTAACTCAAACCCACTACTAGCATGTGACAGCTATGTTCTGCATTGTGACCAACTCATTTCCCAATAGTTTGCTCACTGCTGCCACAGCATGCTGTTATGGTGGGTTCCACATTAATTAGGACGAACTGTATAAATACCATGAAGCAAACAAAATATAACCTATTAGATGTTAGTAAGAAGGTTCATCTAAATTTATTGGTGTTAAAGCAGGGATGGCAGAAAACTCAGTTTTTATGCTGTGGTAAATTTGTATTTATTAATGCAATAAAAGTGCCAGACAATGTGCAAAATACTGTATTTAGGATCTTAAGGAGAGAAAAAAGGCAGCTGTAGAACACGTATCCTTAGTACAAGACCAATGAACCTAAAACCTGTGATAGAAGTCAGTCATTTTTGCAGCTTTCGCAATCTCCCCCCCCCCCCCCCCCCCCCCCCCCCATCCAGTAAAGAAATGCCAATAGTACTATGGTAAGCTAAATTACCAGAATATACTCACACTGGATTTTATGATGATTTTACTATGCATGTCAAAATTATTATGCTCATTGCTACACAATATTATTTCTATTCATACTATGAAATTTGTCTGGCATGTTATAATACACCGTTCTCCACATAAGTCACTTACTTGCTTAATCTTGACAACAGTGTGAGTGAAATGTGATGGTAAGCAGAAAGGAAAAAGTGTAGCTTAGGAGACGGGGGAGAGATGTTTTCCTAGAGCTGGTGTGGAAGTGGAATCTCCACTCATAGTTCACATATTTTCTGAGGTTTTCGGTTTATTAGCCACGCTGTACTAAACAACTTCTGTACCATCTTATATGGCATTCATCTCCACTAGAATCTAATTTTATTGGAGCAAAACATATGCAAATTTTTGTACATAACATTTGCCCATCCATTTATTGTACTTTTTTTCCATGTTCCTTAATAACTTTATCACTCTTCCACTTTTTGCACTCAACTGCCCCAACACTCTCAAGGTTTTCAAGTTTGTACCCTTCAACCGTTTCAGTTTCACGTGTATTGTTCCTTTTCTTTCTTTAACTGAGAATATCTCCAACAGAGCACTAACTAATGGGTTTGTTTGTTTGTGTGTGCACATGCATGCACGCATATATGAATGTGTGTAAGTGATGGTCACCTAACCAACCCTTGCACCATAAACATTTCTTCATCCTTTATGCATTTCCATTAGCTTAATCTGTTAGCAGCCCTGCACCTCCCTGAAGTATAGTACCCAACATAGCAGGATCTCACAGTTGTCTTCTCAGCTTCCTTGCACTCAGGGCTGTGGAGTCGGAGTCGTAGAGTCAGAGTTGGAAGCAATTTTAGGTGGAGTTGGAGTTGGTAAAAATGTACCGACTCCGATATAAAATCTTAAGAAAATACCATTTTAACACTTTCACTACCATGTGAGCCGCCGGCAGCCTCACGCTTAGGGAGATTGAGCCACATGGTGCAGGTATAATACTTTGTAACTTTGGATCCAGTACCTTAAGAATACAAACTGTCTACAAATCAGCCGATTTCTGCAATAACCATTAGACTTATATTTAAATATAGGTTATTAGTCTAAAAAAAATAGCCTAATGATTCACGTGGTGGTGATGAAATATCTTATGATACCATTTACCATTTTAGTAGGTTTACCATTATTAACACATACTGAGCTTTTATGAAGGAGTCAGAGTCTGAGCAGGAGTCAGAGGTTTTAGTACTGACTCCACAGCCCTGCTTGCGTTGGCTGATGTCAACTCCCTGTGGTTGTATGACAGAAATTCTGACTCTCAAGGAGATAACCTCTGTGAAATGTAAAGTTAAGTTTCTTGTAACTGGTAAGACCCTGCCCCAGGTTGTGTTCTCAGCTGATACTGACTGTCAGGTGGTATGCCAGAACTGCTGGCTCCCTGCTGAGAAAAATTAACTTTCTGATGGAAGCCCTATGCTGGAGGGCTCTTATGTGACCCTGCCACTTTCACTTTAATTTCCCATGTTCCATTTTGTCCCATGGAATATGAGAAACAGTTCTCTTCTCTGATTCCCTAAGTCAGCTGAGACTGTCAGTTCCTCAAGGCAGTATGCCACAACTGCTGGCTTCCTGCTGTGAAGAATCAACTTTTAAATGGAAGATCTGTTTAAAGAGCTATTTTATTAGTGGCCATAATCAAGGCCTCCCTATAATTCCCAGGTCTCATAGAGTTCCTGGGTCATAAGGTAGGGTAAATTACGATAACGCCGTCAAACCTGGGTCTTTTAGAAACCATGTTTAGGATCTTCCTGGACTTGGGTAGTGCCACATAACCTGATTGTCACGAAACCCCAGTACTACTTTGGCTGTATGTTACAGAGCTCTTTTATTAGTGGCCATAATCAAGGCCTCACTATGGGTCCCTGGTCTTGCAGAGTCCCTGGGTCCTTAGAGACAATTGATCTCTTTAATTAGGATACTGCCCCCCGACCTAGGCCTTATAGCACACAGGTCAGGACCTCCATGCACTTGGGTACACCACATACCCCAGCTACCATTAGCCCCTGGTCCTACTTGCCAAGATGAAGCTTAAAAACCAGCCAGGGAAAGCGCTGACACCTTTTTAAGCTTCATCTTAGCACTTCCAGACACTTGGTCTGTGCCAGATGAAGCCTGTTTGCTTTAAAGGCTACATGTTGTTGGTCAACCTCATCCGTAGGTTTGCTTGAACAGCCAGCTTCCTGTAATGGTGTGCCATTCAAATCTAGGTACAGGGTATGAGGATAAAATAACTGAAGAAGTGTAAACAACTAATTTTTTTGGCCCACAAATCTACAAAACACATATTCTATATATTATCCTTCAACTAAGCTCAGTATACTTTGCTATGTAGACTGTCACATCACTCATAAAAACAGAAACTTTCAAATTAGTCCACTTTGTTTGTGGGATTATTTTTTGAGTAAACTCAACCGACAGCAAAAAAGTATGTTACATCCAAAAGAAAATCAAGAGAATAAAGGCAGGCACTGAAGGGACAGCCTCATGTATGGAATGGTTTAAGAAATGTAATATTCTTCCACTGGCTAGTGAATTCTTGCTCTCATTAAAACTGTCATTTGTTCTGTACAACATATAAAAATTTCAAACAAACTCAGATATCTAAAATACAATATACAGATATAACCTTAATATGCCAAACAGTAAACTCAGGAAATATAAAAAAAAAGTTTACTATACTGGAATTAAGGTATTCAATAATCTATAAAAATTCTGAAAGAGTTTCTCCTATTTCACTCCTACTTTATAGTGAATTTACCTCAACCCAAAATTCTCAGCAATTATAAATACACTTAAGCAATTGTGGGTGTGATTTCTTATTTAATAATTTTTGCAGTATATACAGCAGCTGAATGTAAATCGCTGTTATAATTATGTAATTTACATTTGTATTTGAAACAGGTATTATATTTGTGCTACGACATGTTCTACATCTTTGGATTGAGCCTATGAAGGATCTATGGAATGTAAATAAATTCTATTCTATTCTAAAAGTTAAAATCATGATGCAAATAAATTTAAGCCAGCACTGAAAGATTGTCTTTATATTACTCCATAGATGAATTTATTTCAATTGAAAATTATTAAATACTGTAAATAGTTACATAAACAAATGTAATAATTATGCTATTTTAGTATTTTATTGTGCTGTGTTCATGTTCATAGTATGTTATACTCTATGCCCTTGGCTTGTACTATGAAAGAACCATGGAAAATAAATAAATAAATTCTGCACTTTAAATGTGCTTTGTGCTAGGCACACAAAACAGGATAAACCACAAGCTGGAAAGCAATGGATTAGTAATCTGTTCTGCAAGTCCACCACTATAGTACCTGATGCACTTCAGTGCCACCCCTCCCCTCCATCTTTATACTGTCTTCATTTATGGAAAACCTTATTTTATACAGATGTATCTGTAATGTGAAAATGTGAAATGTGGAAGACAATAATTGTAGATCAAACCCATGTGTAAATTTGTGTAAAACAGTTTAAACCATTATAATCATA